TGCGGGCGGTGCCAATGGTACCGTCGGTGGAGCTCCGTATGGGCCCACGAAACGCTGTACTGGGTGGTGGCCGACGCATGCGGGCGGTGCCACTGGGACCTTCGGTGGAGCTCCCTATGGGGCCACGAAACGCTGTACCGGGTGGTGGCTGACGTATGCCGGCGGTGCCACTGGGACTTTCGGTGGAGCCCCCTGTGGGGCCACGAAACGCTGTACTGGGTGGTGGCTCACGCATGCGGATGGTCCCACTAGGACCTTCGGTGGAGCTCCCTGTGGGGCCACGAAACGCTGTACTGGGCTTTGGCTGTCGCATGCGGGCAGTGCCATTGGGGCCTTCGGTGGAGCTCCCTACGGGGCCACGAAAGGCTGCACTGGGTGGTGGCTGACGCATGCGGGCGGTGCCACTGGGGCCTTTGGTGGAGCCCCCTATGGGGTCTCGAAGCGCTGTACTGGGTGGTGGCCGACGCATGCGGGCGGTGCCACTGGGGGCTTCGGTGGAGCTCCCTATGGGGCCCACCAAACGTTGTACTGGGTGGGTGAAACGCGGGGAGGAGTGAGGAGGAGGAGAGGAGGAGGAGGAGGAGGAGGAGGAGGAGGAGGAGGAGGAAGAGGAGGAGAAGGCGGAGGAGGGACGCGGGGCGCTGTCTCTTCAAAACGACCCAACACCACAGGATGGTTGGGAAAAACGATGATTGTTGCCTCTTGAGAGTGCTCTTGGAGGCCTCTTGGGCTGTCTGAGGGCCATCTTGGGCGTCTTGGAGCGATCTTGTGGCATCTCGGAGCTCTCTTGTATCATCTTGAGGGGCTCTTGGCGGCCTCTGGGCCTTTCTGGGAGCTCTCTGGAAGGCCTCGAGGGCGGCGATCAGGAGGAAAACTATCTCTGACCCGAGTCGCCGGGGACCTGCCCGGGGCACTTCTCGTCCGGGGACCCCCAGGGGCCGCCCCGCGCGCGCGCGAAGTAGAATTATTATCGGAGGTGAGGGGGTGAGATCGAAGTGGAACGGAGAGCCCCCCTACCGGGAAATCGATTTCGGTTTCGTGTTCGTGCGTGCCGTGCGTGCGGGCGAGGCGAAGCTGCGTGGGCGGGCGAGAGAAAGTCTCCTGTGGCTGAGGCGCGGCCGGACCAAATGATTCTCCCCGGGCGGCCGGTGGCGCGCGGTGTCCCGCCGGTGTCCCGCTGGTGTCCCGTCGGTGTCCCTGTGGCTGAGGCGCGGCCGGACCAAATGTGTCTCTTCCGGGCGGCCGGTGGCGCGCGGTGTCCCGCCGGTGGTGTCCCGTCGGTGTCCCGTCGGTGTCCCGATAGTGATGGTCCCCGATGATTATGATGATGATGGTGATGATGATGATGATGTGATGATGATGATGTTGATGATGGCGATGATGATGATGATGATGATGATGATGATGATGATGATGATGATGATGATGATGATGATGATGATGATGATGATGATGATGACGTCGATTGTGAGATCGATTGTGAGATCGATAGTGAGATCGACAGTGAGACCGAATGTGAGACCGAATGTGAGATCGATTGTGAGATCGATTGTGAGATCGATAGTGAGATCGATAGCGAGATCGATAGTGATAGATCGAATGTGAGATCGATTGTGAGATCGATATGTTGATGATGGCGATGATGATGATGATGATGATGATGATGATGATGATGATGATGATGATGTTGATGCTGATGTTGATGATGATGATGATGATGACGTCGATTGTGAGATCGATTGTGAGATCGATAGTGAGATCGACAGTGAGACCGAATGTGAGACCGAATGTGAGATCGATTGTGAGACCGATTGTGAGATCGATAGTGAGATCGATAGCGAGATCGATAGTGATATCGATAGTGAGATCGAATGTGAGATCGATTGTGAGATCGATAGCGAGATCGATTGAGTGAGACGTTGGTTCCCCCTCCCCCCTCACCTCCTTATCACCCGCAGGGTGGTCGTATAGGTAAAGCAGTCAGGAGTTGCCATAAGAGTGCAGAGTTGCAGAGAATGTTGCAATTCAATCATAGCGATTTGTCTTCTTCCGTATGCGTCCTTGGTTCAGGGTGTCGAGAGGGAGAGCCCTCGACTGAAACACGCTCAACCGGGCTAGGTGCACCCAATTCAAAGAGTTTGATATCGTACAGTTGTGTCCTTGATTGGGGCCGCCCCGCGCGCGCGCGAAGTAGAATTAGCATACAGCAGTCAGTTCCCGGAGGTCGTAGCACGCCTCCGGCCCGTTGGGACCGGCGAGTTCTCAGACGCGCGGAGGGGCCCACCGCCGCCCTCAAGCAAACGCCGAGCTCCGAACACGGATCAGTGGGGCCGCGTGCCAAGAAACCAGTTGGATTTTGCCAGGGTGCCCTGGGTTTCTTGGATTTCGATGGGCTCCCAATAAGATCTTGACGATTTTCGATCGACAAATTTGGATTGTCACTGAGCAAATTGCGTATTTCAGGGTTGGGCTTCTTGCGGAGGTTTCTTGTGGCCGAGCCCCCACTGTATCTTGCAGCATCTGGGATGCATCTTGGGTTTACTCCCGCCGGAGCTCCGCGCGGGTGCCTTGGACCGGCGCTGGGCACCCACCCTTCCCCTGGCGCGCGGGGGTGCCCAGCGCCGCGCCCCCAAAATGCGCGCGGAGCTCCGAGCATGTATGTTTTCTGCTCATGTACTTTGATGGGTGGGGATACTATAAAACACTAAATATAGCTATTGTGCACTATAAAATCCTATCAACATGCACTAAAAAATAAGAAAAATAGTAAACAATAGTGAAAATAGTGAAAACAATAGTGTTAAATAGTGAAAATAGTTAAAATGCTGAAAAATAGTGAAAAATAGTGAAACAAATAGTGGAAATGAAACAATAGCCAATTCTAAGAAAAATCACAAACCAGCTTCTCCTCTTTTCTCTCCTGACTTTCCGCAGCGGCAGACCGCTTTTACATTGCAAGTTGCACAGTGCAGCGGTTTGGCCGCTTCAGAACTTTCGTTCCTAATCACGTCCATGTTGGCTGCGGGGCCGAGGGCGCCGCACGTGGCGCAGCGAGCATCCCAGGCAGCCGTTTAACGAATTCTCGAATTCGGTTGGGCGAATTCAAAAAACTTGAAGCCAAAAACGGCTGCGACGAAATCGTTATCCTGTCCTCCTCCTCCTCCTCCTCCTCCTCCTCCTCCTCCTCCTCCTCCCATGCAAAGCGGTTGGGCCGCTGAGGAGCCGAATGGGGAGGCAGGAGGGAAGCGAACGCAAAGCGGTTGGCCCGCTGAGGAGGGAGGAGGAAACGGATGAGGGAGGTGGCGGAGGGCGGGGGGGGGGGGCAGTAGTCAGAAGAGGAGAGATAGACAACAAACAACAACATAAAACAACACAGAAACAACACAAAACAACATGTTTTTTTTGTTTTTGTTGTTTTTTTTTGTTGCGTTGTTTTTGTGTTGGTTTTGCGTTGTCTGGCGCCCGCCCTACAAGACAGCGCAAAAACAACAAAAAACGACATAAAAACAACACAAAACAACAAAACACAACAACAAACAACATGAAAACAACACCCAGACAACATCTAGCTAACATCCAGCCTGCTGCCAATGGGAAGGGGAGGAGGGGGATGGGGGAGGAGGAGGGGGGGGGCGGAGGGGGAGGAGGAGGAGGGGGAGGAGGAGGGCGGCAAGAGGATAGAGGAGGGAGGGGGGGGGGGAGGAAGAGAAGAGGGAGAGGGGAGGACGAGGGGGAGGAGGAGGGGGAGGAGGGGGGGGGAGGAGGAGGAGGGGAAATTATGATAGAGGAGGGGAGGTAGACGGAGGAGAAGGGGAGGGGGGGGAGGAGGAGGGGGAGGAGGGGGGGAAAGAGGATAGAGGAGGAGGGGTAGGGGGAGGAGAAGGGGGGGGGGAGGAGGAGGAGGAGGAAGAGGAATGGGAGGAGCTTCGGAGCTTCGGATTTGGGGGTGCCGAGGCCCAGGAGTGCCAGCGCCAATGGGGTGCCGAGGCCCCAAGAGGGGCGCCGAGGAGGAAGGGGGGGAGGGGGCAGAGGAGGAGGAGGAGGAGGAGGAGGAGGAGTAGGAGGAGGGGGAGGAGGAGGGGGGCGAGGGAGAGGAGGAGGAGGAGGAGGAGGAGGAGGAGGTGAACACCTCCTCCTCCCTCCTCCTTCTCCTTCTTTTTCCCTTGGAGCACAACGTTATGGCGTCGGTCAGATTTGTTTCAGTGTCTGAATTTTGAAAAGTAAAGAGCAAGTAAAAAAGAAATAGTGAAAAATAAGAAAATGGAAAATCTGGATAAATAGTGAAAATAGTGAAAAATAGTTAAAAAATAATGAAAAAATGAAAGCCAGTAGAAAATAGTGAAAAATACATAAGTTTAGGGATTCCAAGTTCAGCTGATGATAGGACGCTGTGAGCTCCTATAGATCCTATAGTGAAACACAGGGGGGGCTATCGGGGACTACACAATCGGCATTCCTATGGAACCTATTGGGCCTCCTAACCAATCCTAACTCATCCAAACCTCTCCTACAATAGAACCACTTACCCATATTACAACTTCTTATAACTTGACACCCATCAAAGTATACAAGCTGCTTTCTTCAATCCTGCAGCATCGTTGATGCATATTGGATTTAATTACGCTGGTCCTTCCTCCTCCCCCCCCCTTCCCTCGGGGGGAGGAGAGGGGCTCCCTTCTCCTCTCTGTCCCTTCCTCCTCTCCCCTCCCTCCCTCTTCCTCCTCCTCCCTTCCCCCTCCCCTCGGAGGAGGGGGGAGGTGGAGGGACTCAGTCCCTCCCAAGGTCAGTGTCGATACCGGTCAGATCTAGTTCAACGTCGGCTGCGGCGGGCCTGACCTGACTCGATTCCGATGCTACGGCGGTAGGCGCTAGCCACGCCCGAGCGGGGCCGATCCCGCTCGCCAGCGTAGGACAGGCGGCTGAGGAGGAGACGCTACTTGGCAAGGAGGTTCCTCTCGCTGGCGCAGGCTCGCGAGTTGCTGGGGTCGCACCGCGGCAGCATGGCGCCCAAGGCCTGGGGCGCGCAGAAGCGTTGGTCCGATGGAGGCGGCTGCACGTGCTGTGTGCTACGCGGGGATGCGCAGGGTGGATCAGCGACGAGATCTGGAAGCCAGGACTGCAGTGCCGCCACTGCAAGGCCACGCTCAAGAAGCCGTGGATCATCAAGCAGACGGAGAGCAGCTCGAGCCGGAAGGCGCCCGGCAGCTACGGCGACCAGGGCAGCAACAAGCGCGGGGGCCAGAAGGCGGAGACGAAGGAGCTCATCGCGGAGAAGATGGGGGGCATGAAGCTTGAGGACGGCGAGCAGATGGGATCGCGGCTCAAGTGCTTCGCCAGGGTGATCGAGCAGCAGACCGACCCGCCGAAGGTGAAGTCCAAGCCTCAGAGATTGGCGGAGGCGGCCGAGGCGCTCCGGATAGCCAACAAGCATTTCACGGCAGTCGCGTTGGGGGTCAAGCAGCAGCGCGCGTGGCTACGCGAGCTGGAGGAGAAGATAGGGGCGAAGGCGGCGGAGGTCGCCAACCAGGAGGCAAGCCTGGAGGCAATCAACTTGGAGGGGAAGGTGATCCAGAACCAGAGCTCATGCAGCAGCCGATCTCCCAGACGCCCGAGGAGGTGACGCTCGAGGGCATCGTGGACCGGGAGAAGCACGGGAAGGTGGACGACGAGGAGGTCGACGAGACGGCCAGGCAGGCGGTCGCGGAGGCCATGCGGAAGGTGTTCAAAGACTTGCTGGATGGGGCGAAGTCGCGCGCCCACCAGCTGCAGGAGCACATCCGCATCGCGAAGGAGGCCGGGGCCAAGAACAGGGAGACAATCAAGCAGGACGCGAAGAAGAGGGAGGTCGACACGATGGAGGATGCGAAGGAAGCAGCGGAGGCAGCGCCACAGCAAGCTGCCAGCCCGTGGCCAGGACCGTCGGCGGACGCCGTCGGCACCTAGGCAGCAGATGATGTCGGCACGTGGCTGGGGGACAGCGCGCTCGCGAGTGCCAGCGCCAGGCTGGCGGACAGCAGCGGGCAGGCCGCCAGCTCCAAGGACTGACGGCAACGCCCTGGCGCCCATCATGCATGCAAGTCCGACACGTGCGTCAGGGGTATCTTCGTCGGCAACATCGCCACGTGGGGACCTGCTGCGAAGTCGTGGCTTAAGGGCAATCGCCCTAGGATAGACGGCGCCAAGAGCAGCGGCCACGGGTTTGACTCGCACCTGATTCAGGAAACTCATATACGACCACAATTGTTGTTGGAGGAGGAGGAGGAAGCTCTCTTGCTCAAATGGGCTTCGAAGGCGTGGTTCGCAGCTGCGCAGCCATCTACCAAGTCCGAAGGAGGCTCGAAGGGCGACGCGATAATTGCCGCGCGCTCGCACTGCAGGAGCACGTTCTGTCGGGGGCGCTCGCGGCTCACCGCGTCGCATGCGGCATCGGGGGCCACTGCTGAAAGTCGCGGCCATCATCAAGCAGGACCTAGTGGAGGAACTGGGATTTTGCCAGATGGAGGAGTGGGCGGCGATGGCATGGCACCTCGAAGGGCGCAGCCTAGTGCCGATCACGCTCTACCTGGGGTGCGACCAGCCGTTGCGTGAAGGAGCCAATGCGGGCGATTGGCGGAGGTGGCCAAGTTCGCGAAGGCGCTGCCCTCGCCCTGGGTCATCGCGGGTGCCTTCCACGCGAGCCCGATCAAGTTCGCCAGGGGGCTTGGGCGACGCGCGCGTCTGCGCCCTGTCAGGCGACGCGCCAGCGCGCTACGAGGCGGGCGCGGAGCCGTCTCTGATCGATTTCGCGCCGGCAAGCAAGCGGAGCGCAAGCGCATCGCTTTCATGGGGGCCGCCACCGACATCAGCTGGAAGCCCCGCAGCGGCCAAACGCTGACGATCAAGGCGGAGCTCGAGTACAATATCGCCAGCGTGCCGACGATGCCGAGTGCGTTCTGACACCCGGAGATGGACTGAAAGAAGAAGCCCAACCCGGACAGCAAGGCGCAGCGGTGGAAAAGTTTGAAGGCGCAGGTGCAGGCAGAAATACAGACGAGCTCCACAGCCAGAACGACAGCAGGCGCACATCGACCGCGGCGCGATCGCGCGCGCAAGATGGGAGGCATGGGAACCGATTGGATGGGCAACGTGCCCGCCGCTCCCAGATGGAGGACTACCAGGGGACCTGCGCCGAGCACGGGGCGCGCCCGGAGTGCGAGCTGCAGAGGGCCCCTCGCGGCTCATCGCGAGCTCAGAAGAAGCGGGCTTGGCGTTCGCCCCCGCCGGGGGCACAGTGGCCCTTAGCCACGTGGGGCGAGGTGGGGCAGCCGCGAACTCCGTTCGAAGTCGGCCCATGGAGGGCCGCGAGTCGAGGGCCAAGGTGATCGAGCAGAGTGGCCTGAGAACCGCGGCGCCCAGAGACGGCGCGGGCGACCCAGAGGCCGATGTCGTGGAGGAGTTCGAGGAAGGTCCTGACATCCAAGACAGACTGGGAGGAGACGCGGGCGGCAACGCGCGGCAGATGCACGCGCGCGGCGCCAGCGTCGTTAGAACGCGAATCCCGAGCCAGACCCCCTTAGGGGTCGACGCAGGCCCGGGTTAAAATCGCCAGCGAATTTGCCGCAAATCCTGGGCCAGGTCCAGTCGCCGGGCGTTTGGGCGGAGGAGAGCATCCCATGGCGGGATAGAGGGCGCGAGCAGCGAGGGCCCGCGCGGCAGCTGCCCGGAGGCCGCGCGCCCGAGCCAGGGGGCCGCGCGGGCAAGCCGCGAAGCGGAGGCCCCCGACGAGCCCAGAGTGCGCGGCGCGGACTTCGAGGCGAACCGCACGGCCAACATGTCTTTGCAAGTGCCCGAGAGCGGGGCCCGCCCATGACCGCGCCAGCTGGGAAGCGAGGGGGGGGCTGCGTTCGCCTGGCCTGCTGGGGCCGTGAGGCCCGCGAATGCATTGAGAGGCGTAGTCCCAGGGCCTCGCTCGCAGCTGAGACAGACGGGTACGCCGACAACATGCTGATCGCGAGCTCGGGAGAAGCAGGCCAGGGGTTCGCCCCCGCCGAGGGCGCAGTGACACTTGGCCATGTGGGGCGAGGCGGGAGAGCCGCGAACCTCGCTCGAAGTCGGCCCATTGAGGTCTCGCGGGCCAAGGCGATCAAGCATCTAGACAGAGACCTGCCATCACCACTACGAGTGCCAGAGTAACCAGCCGAACATGGATCGGATGCGCATGGCCAGGTGCGAGGCAGCGACCCTTGGCGCCATGTCGAGGCTAACGATGGCGAGCTGGAGGAGGAAGAGCAGATCGCGACCAGCGCGCCCAGCAGCACAGACGCGCTCGCCATGAAGGACACCCGGGATAAGCACTACGAGAGGAGGCATCCGAGGAAGCTGGTCGATCCCCCAGGTTAGATCAGCAGGTCGGCGGCGTTCAAGGCCCCGAGGAGGAGGCTCGGAAGCTAGGGGGCCAGCGCCACCACCTCGTCTCCACGATGGAGTGTTTCTACAGCGAAGCGCACTACATTCAGGAAGAGGACCAGCGGAAGTTCAAAGGCGGAGGCGAAGCGTGCGAGTTCATGGACCATGGAGAAGAAGGTCAGGGAATCGGGTCCGAGGAGAGTGCGCTACAGCAATGTGGGGATGAACTGGCGGTGCAGAATGGCGCCAGCGATGGTCGCGCGCGCCGCGCTGTGGAGCAGGAAGAGAGGTGAACTACAGCTACAACAACTGGAAGGGTGCTGCAGGAGGCTGGCGATGGAAGGCGCGCCAGTGGCAGGGCGAGCAGCTGCGATAACTGCGAGGCTACATGGGGGATCTGGGGCCAACGCATCAGGGGGATCCAGATGGTAGACGACAGCGCGTGGAAGGCGATGGACATTGAGGAGAGTGAAAGCACATCTGCACGCGCGAGGAAGCGTCGGATGCAATCAAGATGCCTGGAGACGGGAGAAGGGGGAGCCAACGCCGAAACGGACCTTAAAAAGTTGGCGCGGCGACGAAAGGCACCCCCAACAACGGATGAGGCACGGACATGCTCGACGTGGAAGACGTGGGGTGGTTGCTTGGGCGCCGGAGACAGGCCTGCAGCGACATGCACAATAGTTGCGAAGAAGAGGTTGCGCGGCCGTGGCAGACGCCCCCGGCGATGGTCCTGCTGCAGCCGAAGGGTGCGGAGAAGCTGGACGAATCGGCGCTCGCTGGGGCTGGGGATCGGGCGCTGGCGCTGCTCGCGGGGCTCGCGAGGCCGGGAGTTGTTCAAACGTATTCCAGATGAGGAAGTGGGCCGTCGACGTAGAGGAAGACTATGGCGCCACGGTCGCAGGGAACTACTGCCTCAGCGAGGCGACGGCCAGGGCCGCGGGGGACGAGGCCCCGCTGTAGCTCGGGGTGCAGTCGGCCAACGCCCTGGCGGACGCCAGAAGGTTCTACGACTCCTCGGTGCACGAGTAGGTGGCGGGAAGAGCGTTGGAGTGCGGCTTCCCGCCGAGGGTGCTAGCTGCGGCCACGCTGCCCCGCATCGCGCCGAAGATGCTCCGAGAGAGCGGCGCGTGCAGCGCGCCAATCTAAGCGCGATGGAGTTCATTGGCAGGGCCGCGGCATAGCAGCGACTTGGCGGGGGCACTCGCATGCCGCGCGGTGAATGCCATGAGAAGCAAGGCGCAAATGGCGCAGCCGAGGGCCTGGTTCGACGACGCAGGCCTGTGAGCGGTCGGGGGCGTCGCCGAGGTGGAGGACTGCGTCGCGGCGGCGACGCGCGAGCTGGCGATGGAGCTCGGGCAAGAAGGACTAGCCACGGCAGGCAAGCCGGCACTGTTCAGCACGGACACCGGCACGGCGAAGAGGGCGTCCAAGCAGCTCGAAGAAATGGGAGTTACCATCAAAGTGGCCATGGATGGCAGAGATCTGGGGCTATAGACAGAGCAGGCAAGACATGCGCGAGACGGGTTGCGCACAGCGCGAGGAAGAATAAAGGTTTCAAGAGGCTCGCCGCCATCCCGAAGAAGTTGAGGAAAGCGAAGTCGAGGTGGCAGGTCACCGAGCAGGGGCCCGCGGTGCAGGTCGGCTACGGCCCGATGGCGCACGGCGCAAGCCCCTCCGAGCTCACGGCCGCCCGGAGGAGGCATGTGAAGGGGCTCGGGAAAGCGTGGTCAGGGAGATGTCTCGCCACGCTATTAGACCCCGAGGGCGCGGGCCCAGGAGTGGCAGCCCCGAGGGCGCAGATCCCGGCGCGATTCGACTCATGGGCTCGCAGGCCAGATCTACGAGGCGACGCGCGCAGAGCCTGGCCACGAATACGAGAAAAGGCTTGTAGCAGCGCCAAGGAGCACGAGGTGGCAACAACAGAGAGGAATGATAGGCGAGATCGTCATACAGTCCTGGGGGAACAACTGGGACGCGAAGAGTGCGGACTATTGGGATTACGCAGCTGAGGGAGGTTTGCCGCTGTGGCCAGGCGATGGCAAGGACGACCCAACAGGGCTGCTGGACGCGATCACCACAGACCTTTAGAAAAAAGGCCTTGCAGCAAGCAAATCGTCACCACAACGGAGCAGGGCTGCAACGCTGGGCCGACACCTACGACCTGAAGGTGCAGCTGAGGCGACTGCGGAAGCGACGCCCCGCAGCTGCTGCTGCCCACCTTCTCTCCAGGCCGCGGGCGCCCGGTGCGCACCAAAGGGGCCACGTCCTGCGTCCGGCAGGCGCGCCGCCGCGCGGCCGAGCGGCGTGGAGGGCTCCTCGCCCGCGGAGGAGGAGCGCGCGCTTCGGCAGCTGCCCGCGTTCGTGGAGGAGCTGCTCGCTGTCCTTGCCTTCCCCCTCCCTCCTTCCCTCTCCCTCCCTCCCCTCCTCGTGGGAGCCAGGGTGCTGGCGTGCTGGTGTGTGGTCGGGCCACGCCGCTCGGC